AAAAATATGTGTATATATACACACACATACAAAATGTATATATTTTTACTTTTATAATTTTATATTATGTGACTTTTACCCTAATTTTTTTTAAAGAATCAAATTTCATTCACAATTAAGACTATAAATCTGGCCTGGGCATGGTGGCTCATGCCTCTAATCTCAGCACTTTGGGAGGCTGAGACAGGTGGATCACCTGAGGTCAGGAGTTCAAGACCAGCCTAGCCAAGGTGGTAAAACCCCATCTCTATGAAACGTAGAAAAATTAGCTGGGTATGGTGGCACATGCCTGTAATCCCAGCTACTAGGGAGGCTGAGGCAGGAGAATTGCTGGAACCCGGGAGACAGGGGTTGCAGTGAGCCGAAATCGTGCCACTGCACTCCAGCCTGAGCAACAGAGTGAGACTCCATCTCAAAAACAAACAAAAAACCACAGATCTAAGTAATCTTATAGAAGTAAAGGTTCATAAGGAAAACCTGAAATTGAAGATTTTATGTCACAATATATATAATTTAAGCTACGATTTTTCAACCACAGTAGTTAAAACCAGACCAAGCAAAAAAGGGTGAATTCACTCATTTTGCTTCCTTACCAGTGCCTTTTGCCCACAAGCATGGTTTTGACGACAGACCACATTTCACAATTCTGAAGTATGTCACAAATGTCATGATTTGCAAATGAAAAAACAAAAAACAGAACAAATAAGCTTTATATATTTCAACACAGAATAATCCCCGAAATATAATGTAGCGTGAAGAAACATAAGTTTCCAAAGATGGGAGATATGTATGTAAAAGATACTTACGGCTGGGCGCTGTGGCTCACTCTGGTAATCCCAGTGCTTTGGGAGGCCAAGGCAAGGGGATCACTTGAGCCCAGGCTGGGCAACACAGTCAGACCCTGTCTCTACAAAAATTTTTTAAAAATTAGCCAGGCATGGTGGTACATGCCTGTAGTCCTAGCCAATGGGGAGACTGAGGCAGGAGGGTTGCTTGAGCCAGGGAGGGTGAGGCTGCAGTGGGTCCTGATCACACCCCTGCACTCAAGCATGGATGATAGAGGGAGACCCTAACTCTGGAAAAAAAAAAAAAAAAAAAAAAAGATACATATGAGATAAATACAAGAGGCCAGACCAGGCGCCATGGCTCACACCTGTAATCCCAGCACTTTGGGAGGCCAAGGAAGGTGGGTCACTTAAGGTCAGGAGTTCAAAACCAGCCTGGCCAACATGATGAAAACCCATCTCTACTAAAAATACAAAAGTTAGCTGGGCACAGTGTCAGGCGTCTATAATTCCAGCTACTCCAGAGGCTGAGGAGAATTGTTGAACCCGAGAGATGGAGGCTGTGGTGAGCTGAGATTACACCACTGCACTGTAGCCTGGGCAACAGAGCAAGACTCCATCTAAAAAAATAGGAGGTCAAGCAACCGAGTGGAACCAAGAGACAAAACGTTCGAATAGACATTTCATCAGAGAAGTACATGAATGGCCAACGCACACATGAAAATATCCTCCACACATGACTTAGTAGAGAAATACAAGCCAAATTCACAATGAGACGCCATTTCCCAGCCACTAGAATGGCTAGTCAAAACAGCGAACAACCCCTAATGCTTCCAAAGTTGCTGTATTAGTCAGTTTTCACACCGCTATAAAGAAATGCTACGAATGGGTAATTATAAAGGAAAGAGGTTTAGCTGACTCACAGTTCTGAATGGCTGGGGAGGCCCAAGGAAACGTATAATCATGGCAGAAGGCAGAGGGGATGCAGACACCGCCTCACAAGGCAGCAGGAGGGAGCAGTGGGAGGGCAGGGAAAAACTGCCACTTATAAACGCATCAGATCTCGTGAGGATTCACTCATCATCAGCAGAACAGCATGGGAGAAAACGCCCCGTTACCCAATCACCTCCCTCCCTTGACACGTGGGGATGATGACTGGAGATGAGATTCGGGTGGGGATACCGAGTGAACTGTATCGGTTGTAGAGTAACAAAAACTCTCGTATGTCACTGATGGAAATACAAAACGGTGCAGCCAATTGGGAAAATATTTCGGCAGTTTCCTATAAAGTTAAACGTAGGCCAAGTGCAGTGGCTTACACACCTGTAATCCCAGCACTCTGGGAGGCTATGCGTCACTTGAACCCAGGAGTTCAAGACCAGCCTGGGCAACACTGTGAAACCCTGTCTCTACAAACACACACACACACACACACACACACGCTTGGCTAATTTTCATATATTTTGTAGAGATGAGGTCTCACTAATATTGCCCAGGCTGGTCTCAAACTCCTGAGCTTAAGCGATCAACCTACTTCTGTCTCCCAAATGGCTGGGATTACAGGCATGAGCACTGCATCCAGCCAAAAAGCACAGAAATTAGCCAGGCGTGGTGGTGCATGTCTGTAGTCCCAGCTATTGGGTGGCGGTGGGGCTGAAGCTGTAGTGAGCAGAGAGCATGCCACTGCACACCAGCCTGGACAGACCCAGGCCTTGTCTCAAAAAAAAAAAGAGATATTCATGAAAGCCAGATGTAAAAGACGATGCATTGTGTGACTGCATTTACATTATATGTTCCAAATAGGGCAATCTATTGATCTATTTTTTTAATATAGAAATTCTAAATTTCTTTTTTTTTTTAATTATTTTTTTATATATAAAGACGGGGTTTCACCGTGTTGGTCAGGCTGGTCTTGAACTCCCGACCTCAGGTGATCCGCCCGCCTTGGCCTCCAAAGTGCTTAGATAACAGACGTGAGCCACCACGCCTGGCCTCTCAATACATTTTTACTATAAAAAAAAAAAAAAAAGCTGGACACGGTGGCCTGTGCCTGTAGTCCCAGCTACTCAGGAGGCTGAGGTGGGAGGATCACTTGAGTACAGGAGTTCTGAGCTGTTGTGTGCTATGCGGATCGGGTGTCTGTACTAAGTTCAGCATCAATATGGTGACCTCCCGGGAGCGGGGGACCATCAGGTTGGCTAAGGAAGGGTGAACCAGCCCAGGTCGGAAACCGAGCAGGTCAAAACTCCCGTGCTGATCAGTAGTGGGATCGCGCCTATGAATAGCCACTGCACTCCAGCCTGGGCAACATAGCGAGACCCCGTCTCTTAAAAAACAAAAAAACAGCCAGAGCCTCTTGCTGTTCCAGGAACAGGCCGACACCACACCTGTCCTTGGACTCTCACAGATGCAGCCCTCTCTGTTTCCCTCCATTTGAAGCGCTGCCTCCTTGCCGCCCACCTGTCTAGATCAGCGGTAGGGCCCGGTGAATCCAGAGCTCCTCCCTGCCTCCATTCCTTTCAACCCCCAGCATCCCCATGATGGATTAGCTCTTTCCTTCTTTCTTTTTTTATTTTTTATTTTTTGAGATGGAATCTTGCTTTGTCACCAGGCTGGAGTGCAGTGGCACGATCTCGGTTCACTGCAAACTCTGCCTCCTGAATTCAAGTGAGTCTCCTGCATCAGCCTCCTAAGTAGCTGGGATTACAGGTGCCCACCACCACATCCAGCTAATTTTTGTATTTTTAGTAGAGATGGGGTTTCACCATGTTGGCCAGGATGGTCTCAATCTCTTGGCCTCGTGATCTGCTGGCCTCAGCCTCCCAAAATGCTGGGATTACAGGCGTGAGTCACCGCACCTGGCCAGCTCTTTCTTCACTGCTGGTCTCTGACACTAGAATGTCAGCTCCAGAGAGGGCCTCTCTTTGTTCCCAACTAGTTCCCAACTACTCGAATGGCGCCTGGTGCACAGCTGATACTCAGTGCACATGTCCGATGCCAGCTCCCCTCTCCCTGTCCACACCGACTTCAGCCTCATGCCATTGCCACTGGGGGACCCAAGCCCACCACTCAGCAACATGGTGACCAGCCCAGGAGCGGCTCTGTGGGCCAATAGATCAGGCTGGAGCTTAACTAAGGCCCATTTTCTCCTGGGGTGGCTCTCAGCCATCTTGCCCCACTCTAGGCAAGGGCCTGGCCTACAGAGAAACCAATAAGGGGGACAGCACGGCCTGCCAGGAGATGGGAGAGGCACAGCTCTCAGGGTGCCTCCCAGGGTTTTGGGAGCTGGGATGAATGGGTTTCTGTTGTTTACACCCTGTAGTCCGGAGTCACTCCAGAGGGGAGGAGTCTGGATTCAGCCCAGCCAGGTGCTTCCCAAACAACTATGGGGTGGGGCAGGGAACACTGGAAAAGAAATTTGTATGTGAGCATTTGTGTGTAAGTCCTGGTGAGGGCAGGGCTGGGCTGTCTCGGTCACTGCTGAGACCCTGACACAGGGTGGGGCAGAGTGGGTAACTCAGTGAGTTTTTCTGTTTTTTCCGCAGGTAACGTCCTACTGAGGACGCTGGACTCATGCCCCAGTGTGGCATCACCTCAGTGAGTTTTTTGAAAGAGAGAATAAATGAAGGATATTTTTCCTAAGGTTGACATAGACTTTATTTATTTATTGAGACAGAGTCTTGCTCTGTTGCCCAGGCTGGAGGCTGGAGTGCAGTGGTGCAATCTTGGCTCATCACGCATCACTACTCCCAGCTAATTTTTGTATTTTTACTAGAGACAGGGTTTCACCATGTTGGCCAGGCTGGTCTCAAACTCCTCAAGTGATCTGCTGGCTTCAGCCACCTGAAGTGCTGGGATTACAGGCGTGAGCCACCCAGCCTGGCCTTTTGTTTTTTGAGATGAAGTTTCCTTCCTGTTGCCAAGGCTGGAGTGCAATGGCCCATGTTGATCTCGGCTCACTTTGACCTCCACCTCCCGGGTTCAAGCAATTCTCCTGCCTCAGCCTCCCGAAGAGCTGGCCTTACAGGCACCCACCACTATGTCCTGCCAATTTTTGTATTTTTAGTAGAGACAGGGTTTCAGTCTTGAACACCTGACCTCAGGTGATCCACCTGCTTTGGCCTCCCAAAGTGTTGGGATTACAGGCGTACGCCACCGCGCCCGGCCCCAAGGACTTTTTAAATATGAAAAAAGAATGCATCAACTCGAAGACAATCAGTTTCATTTACAAATTTATTCTAACCTCTCTCCCCAAATGGCAAGGTATACGGAATTTTAGCTAGTAGAACGCACGAGCAGTGAACCACCCTCTGGCCTTTTGCATTTTGAGAGGAGGTTCTTTCCATTTCCACACACCTTGGCCACCCCCAACACTGCAGTGGGGGAAGCAGATGGCCCTGATGCCCACAAAGACTGGCCACCTGTCAGAGGAGGGCAGGGCTGAGCACAAAGTCTGTGAGATGTGAGAGCAGCACTCCATCCGGGTCAGGACGGTGCTGGGGTCAGGAACTGAGGCTCCTCCTGCCATCTTCACATTCCCATCACTTTCTTTCTGTGTGTGTGATACTCAGTCTGTCAGCCAGGCTGGAGGGCAGTGGTTCGGATCCTGGCTCATGGCAACCCTCACGGCAAACCCCGCCTCCTGGGTTCAAGCGATTCTGATGCCTCAGCCCCCTGAATAGCTGGGATTCAGGCATGCGCCACCACTCCCAGCTAATTTTTGAATGTTTATAGAGATGGGGTTTCACCATGTTGGCCAGGCTGTTCTTGATCTCCTGACCTCATGTGATCCATCCACCCGGGTCTCTAAGAGTGTCAGGATGACAAGCGTGAGCCACCACACCCGGCCTGGGTCACAGCCCCACTCAGGACCCACTTGGTCAGTTCCCTCTGCTCCAGCTTCTCCCCCTCTTCTAGAACGTACTGAAACGCTGTTTCAGGCCAGATGATGTGGCTAATGCCTGTAATCCCAGCATTTGAAAGGCCAAGGCGGGCGGGTCACCTGAGGTCAGGAGTTCGAGACCAGTCTGGGCAACCTGGTGAAACCTGGTCTCTACTAAAATGCAAAAATTAGCTGGGCGTGGTGGCATGTGCCTGTAATCCCAGCTACTCAGGAGGCTGAGGCAGGAGAAGTGCTTGAGTCTGGTAGGTGGAAGTTGCAGTGAGTTGAGATCGGACCACTGCACTCCAGCCTGGGTGACAGAGCTAGATTCTGTCTTCAAAAAAAAAAAAAAACAGAAAAGAAATGCTGTTTCAGAACCTGCTTCTTGGCTCTCTATCGGCAGATCTTGCTTCAGGCCATTTTTACCTCCTTAGAGGAGGGAGGTGAGGGTGGAAGTGGGGTAAATCCCGCCCTCCCACTTTCACCTGCAGCCTCCCGGGAGCAGGCCCAGGTGAATGGTCACCCCGTTTACTCAATGCTCTAATCTCAGGTGTGATCCAGGGCTGCTCTGAGGGGATAGAGTCCCCTACTGCCAACGCCACCTCTGGGATGCCCTGGGCCTGTGTAGACATCGTCACTCCCCAGCCTCCGATCAGTCATTGCCTCTCTCCTCACTCTGCAGCCGGAGTAATCCCTCTGCCGCCGCTACTTCACCACCCTGGGCAGTCAGCCCCTCACTGGCTGTGGCACCTCTGGCAAGTCCCCTTGCTTACCCTTGGCCTCAGCTTCCCCAGCTCATAGGGTGACTTTTGGGCCTCTCCCCAGCAGAACCCTCCCCACTTCCCTCCTGATTTTAATAAGCTCGGTACCCACTGTGGCGATCCACGTGACGGTTCTGACACATACTCAGGATGCCTTCATCACCCTGCGGCTCCTCTAATTAGGAGACAGCTACAGTCGGAAGGGCAGACTGCAGGCTAGTGGGGCCCACCTGTCTCCCGCTTCAGTGGTGCATCCTGGAAGAGAAACCCAGTGGCAAAGGATGGTTTCTAGACTGTTGCTCTCAGCTAGAAGGCCACATGGCCTGCGGGGTTGGCAAGAGTCCCAGAGTCCTTTTTTTTGACACAGGGTCTCACTCTGTCACCTAGGCTGGAGTGTAGTGGCGTGATCACGGCTTGCTGCAGCCTCAACCTCCAGGGCTCAAGTGATCCTCCTGCCTCAGCCTCCCAAGTAGCTGGGACTACAGGCGTGCACCAGTACACCTGAGTCATTTGTTACTTCTGTAGAGATGGGGTCTCACTATGTTACCCAGGCTGGTCTTCAACTCCTGGGCTCAAAGAGATCCCTCCTGCCTTGGTCTCCCAAAGTGCTGGGATTACAGGTGTGAACCACTACGCCTCGACACCAGCATACTCTTGGGGTGGGGAGTAGTAGTGGGCTGAATGGCTTGAATGGTGGACCCCCAACAGACATGTCCACATACTAACCCCCAGGACCTGTGATTATGACGGCTTATTTGAAAAAAGGGCTTTTTTTTAAAAGATGTAATCAGGTTAAGGGTCTTGAGGTGGGATCATCCTGAACTTAAGATGGACCCTAGCTGCAATGACAGGTGGAGGAGGAGGAGGAGGAGGAGGAGGAGAACAAGGAGGAGGAGGGGGAGGAGGAGGAGGCCGTGGGAAGCTGGAGGCAGAGCCAGGGAAGGCCTGGAGTCGCCGGGAGCTGGAAGAGGGAGCTGTCCCTGTCAGCACCCTGGTTTCAGACTTCGGGACTCCAGAACCACATGAATTCAATTCTTGTTGGACTTAGGCCATCAAGTTCATGACACAGTGGTGACCTGTTATGGCAGCCCCAGGAAATTAATCAAGGAGTTAAGGCCAACTGGTGGCCTCATCAGTGGGATGGGAGTGGGACTGGGGACCGTGGAGGCAGGAGGTTACCGCTATATGAAGATGGACTGTCAGATCAGTCCAGAGCTGCGAGGAAGGAAGACAAGAACACAGATCAGGAGACGCAGATGGAAGAGGGAGGATGTGACAACTGAATCCGTGGACTGGGATTTGACTGGGGCCCTGAGAAATGCTACATGGTGGGGAAGGTAAGAAAGGACCCGCCATGCAGTAGAAGGTCCAGGGACTCTGAGGACAGGAAAACAGGAGGCCGAGGCTGAAGGACAGGCTAGATTAGCCCTAACTAGGATCAAATTTTCCACCATGGAAAGGGGGTTGGAGGACATTGCCAGAAAAGCCCCTGCAGCGCCATTCCAGTGGTTGTGCCATAGACTCAGGATGAGGGGGTTCTGCCGGAACAGTTCACTTGGGGCCTAAAGGAGTTACAGTGATTCCACGGATTGACTGCAGGCCAGGGAGACAGAGTCTTGCTCTGTGACCCAGGCTAGAGTACAATGGCACGATCTCAGCTCTGCAACCTCCACCTCCCGGCTTCAAGCAATTCTTCTGCCTCGGCCTCCCAAGTAGCTGGGATTACAGGCACCTGCCACCATGCGCGGTTCATTTTTGGTTTTGTTTTGAGACAGAGTCTTGCTTTGTTGCCCAGGCTAGAGTACAATGGTGCCATCGTGGCTCACTGCAACCTCCACCTCCCAGGTTCAAGCAATTCTCCTGCCTCAGCCTCCTGAGTAGCTGGGATTACAGGCATGTGCCACCATGCCTGGCTAGTTTTTATATTTTTAGTAGAGATGGGTGTTTCATCATGTTGGCCAGGCTGGTTTCAAACTCCTGACCTCAAGGGATCCACCCGCCTCAGCCTCCCAAAGTGCTGGGATTACAGATGTGAGCCACAGCTCCCAGCCACACCTTTTTTCTCCTGAAGAGGTGATCCCCAGCAAGAGGTGACGTTGAAGGTGTCGGGGAGAAAAGGCCACTGCAAGACACTTCATTTCCTTACAGTGGTCTGTACCGATTGACAAAAAGAAGGGGGTGCTCCAGTGTAAGGGAGGAGTGTCCCAGGAAAGGTTAACTTTGATCAGGTAACCGGGGGTGGGGGTAACAATAATACATTGGAGTCAGCTCAAGCCCAGGTTCCACTTTTTCATTTGCCAGAGTGCCTGCGAGGTCCTGCTGGCTGGGGCCTTGCAGGTCGTCCTGGTTTGGAGGGGGGTCAGGGATGAAGGATGATGGAGGGGGCTATGTTGCAACGCTTTGCCTGCTGGTCCCAGTGGCAGGTAAACACTGCCCCCATCAGCCGGGGTAACCAAATACCAAGTTGCATCAAGATCCTGGTGGTTTCCACTGGGCCAGCGCAGGCAGCGATGGTACGGGAAGGCCACTGTTAGGTACATACGGCCACGCCCAAATTCAGGCTCCAGCAAGCTCCTATTTCTTGGACACAGGCTCTGTCTGGGACGCGGACTGGCCGGGGTTGCAGAGCTGGGTGCGCATCTCTTGCAGCTCTGCACGCAGTTCCTCCAGAGCGCCCTGTGGCGGCGCCGCCGCCTGCACCTGCGCCTGCAGCGCTTCGAGCGCCAGCGCCAAGTTGCCCACCTCGTCCCGCAGCGCGTTCCAGGCGGCGCGCTGCTCCTCCTCCTTGTGGCGCTGCTGCGCCTGGTGGCGCCAGTACTCCAGCACCAGGCAGCCACCGCCCACGATGAAGATGGTGGCTTCGCCCAGCAGCTCCGCGCCGAGCTCGGCGGCCGCCTCCTCATTCAGCGGCTTGATGACCGTGCCCCGGAAGCCCATGATGCGCATCTTGGTCCGCATCTCTACCCAGTGGTACACTGCGGGGGAAGAGAGAGTCAGGCCGCACTCTGGGTGCCCCTGCAAGCCCCACCCCTCTCACCCAGGGAATGCAGTCACCTAGCTTGGGTAACCCCGGGGTCTTTCAAAAGACCAGAAAATACTAGCAAGTTAGCCAGGGATGAGGAACACTGCCCAGAGGGGAGGTCCTCAGACTTGGGGGACACACCCCAGGAAGGATACCAGGAGCTCCCACAGCGCCAAGTTCATGGAAGGTGTAAATGTCCCGCTGCCAGATGCTTAGCTCCCTGTGATCCTCCCGTAAGCCACCGCCAGTCCAGCAGTCCTGTCCTGGCACTGTTGCCCCACCCACTTCCCAGGATAAAGATCAACCCCCTTTCTCGCGTTATTTTCCCAAAGTGCAGAGTTGGGGCTGCAGTTAAGGAGAGGGTGTGGGGGCTCCTGTCTCCAAAGAAAGGGCAGCTTAAGGCGGGAGTCGATGCTAAGTGCCTCTGAACACGTAGTGATCAATCATTTTTGCAAGTCTGATGGCTCCAGTCCAAGAATTTCACCAGCCCTGAAGGTGGGGCTAAGAGCTGGGGCTCTTCACAGTGAGGTTTGGAACACATACCTTGGAGGCAGCTCAAGAGGTGAGTGGTGCTGCTGTAACAAAACCTCCTTCCTTGCCTAGCTGCTTCTTTATGAAGGAAGATTCTCAGCACTTGAGTCTTTAAAACCAATGCAGAATGGATGCTGTACCCTGACTCACTCCTGCAATAATGAATATTTGCCGAGGGCACATGAAACCATAGAGGGGACCCTGTCTAGTGCCTTTGCAGATTCATTTCCGACATCTCCCCTTACTTTTAAGGTTTAGTAATAATTCATGAAAATGTGTAACAGATGAACGTTTTTTAAAGGAACCTTAAAATGCATTGATAATAATTTCAAAGTTAACTCAATCCAGAAGAAAATAATTCAGCATTTAGAACCTTATGGTCACAGGAAATTAACATGTACATTTCTGTATGTATTTTGGTTGCTGACATATAAATCATTAGATGGAATTCTGTGGGTATGTGGACTGTAAATTTAAAAGTACACGAACAAAAATAAACCATGTGAAATTTCTGACTGAAAAAGAAGACCTTGTTCTTTTTTATTATTTTGAGATGGGGTCTTGCTTTGTCACCCAGGCTGGAGTGTCATGGCACAATCACGGCTCACTGCAGCCTTGACCTTCCAGGCTCAAGTGATCCTCCCACCTCAGTCCGGTGAGTGGCTGGGACTAGCGGTACACCTTCAGTATCAATATCAGGGTATCAGAATGTTGCTCAGGCTGGTCTCGAACTCCTGGGCTCAGGCGATCTGCCTGCCTTGGCCTCCCAAAGTGCTGGGATCACAGGCTTGAGCCACTGTGCCTGGCCTTTTCTACATATGTCTTTAAACCCGACACATGATCATTACTACTGTAAGTGAACTGCAATAAATCTGAAGGGAAGGGTCTACCAGCTGTTTGAACATGTCAGTATCATAACACACCAGAACCAGAAATTATCTCCTTCACAACTACTTGAGGTTATGAAGAAAAAGTTACAGCTGTCAACTTGAAAATACAATGGAGGGCACATAATTTTTCTTTTCTTTTCTTTTTTCTGAGCCAGGATCTGGTTCTGTCACCCAGGCTGGAGTGCGGTGGTGCAATTTTGGCTCACTACAACCTCTGCCTCCCAGGCTCAAGTCATCCTCCCACCTCAGCCTCCCAAGTAGCAGAACTACAGGCGCATGTAACCATACCACGCCTGGCTACTTTTTTGGGGGGTGGGTAGAGAGGGAGTCTTGCCATATTGTATCACATTTATTTATGTAACAGATGGGATCTCACTCTGCCGTCTGGGATGGAAGGCAGTGGCTCCATCACAGTTCGCTGCAACCTCAAACACCTAGACTCAAGCAATGCTGCCCCTCAGCCTCTGGAGCAGCTGGAACTATAGGAACTACAGGTGCCCCATCATGCCTGGCTGTTTTTCTTTTTTATTTTTGTAGAGATGTGGTCTTGCTATGTTGCTGAAGCTGGTCTTGAACTCCTGGGCTCAAGCAATCATCCTGCCTCAGCCTCCCAAAGTACTGGACAACAGGTGAGAGCCCCTGCACCCAGCCACTACAAGATTTTTCATCTTCAACGGGGGTGGGGCGGCAGGAAGGCTTGGGGAGCTCTGCTGGAGCTGGAGGGAACACCTGAGCAGTGAGTCCAGAGCCCGGGCAGTCACTGTCAGCTGCTATAGTTACCACTAGCGCTAACTGTGGCTTAGGCCCTGGGCTTGTGGGTTCCTGGGGTCCAGGCTGTGGAGACCCCTCCCACATTGGAGTCCTAGGGTCAGGCCAACCTGGAGTGTCCCCAGGGCTCTGTCACCTGCTGCTTGGACAATGACAGCCTTCCCCGACCCCCTTTGTAATGCAGGAAGGATAGCATCCTGACAATGACACGTGCCAGCCCTGGTGGTCGGCCCAGAGCTGTGTCTGTAACTGTCACTGCCTCTTTCACGTCAGGGACACCTAGCACGGTCGTCAGAGAGTGGTGAGCAGCAAGGGCTCCAGCTCCTTTGGCCTGCCTGCGTGAGGGTCCCAGCATGCAATTGCAAGTGTCTCAGTGTAGACCAAGCATGGAGATCTGGAGGAGCAGGTAGGTCTGGGTGTGCCAACTGGAGTGGGCACATACCCAGGGCACAGGAAATCAAATCAAAGAGGGTGTGTGTGTGCATACAGGCACATGTTCGAGGGCTTTCAGAGTGGGGGCAGACGGCATTCTCCCTCGGGCCAGCGATCAGATGTGGGGTTCAGGAAACATGGTCCAGGTAGGAATGAAGGGCTGTGAAGAAGGGATGGCTGTGAGGGGCCGGGACGGGATAAGCTGGAGGACTCACCAGACTTCGGGGACCAACAGCCTCCAGATGTCTCCCAGAACCCTCACACTCAGCGTTCGAACCTGAACCCAGCTCCCGGCCTCACATCCACCTGTCCCCCCGCTAGAGACCAGGGCCTCATCTCAACTGTTACCCTCCTCCCACAGCCTCTCAGTGGTGTGTCGGGTCCATTATGCATCTTGAACGTCTCTCCCAGTAGATTCCCTTCTGCTGTCCTGGTCCAGGCTCCATCCCAGCTCTGACCCACATCCCCTCCCTGACCTTGAGAACAGGAGGAATCCACCCTGTCTATCCCCTTCCCAGTGCCCATCACAATCAGGAATGGTGGCTATCTAGTTACCTGTCTGCCATCAGTCTCCCTCACTGGCCTGCAAGCCTCACAAGGGCGGGGCCCAGGGCTGTCATGGTCACTACTGTGTCCCCAGCACTCCCAGTGCCAGGCTGGGCCTGCACATGATGCTCATTAGATCTAAGTCTAACGCTTAAGTGGGTCCCACCTCCAGCCTCCTTCCCAGATGCTAGCCCCAGCCTCACCCTCTGCAATTGTCCTCTACACAGCAATCAGAAGGAATTGGTTAGAAGAAAAGAACAAAAAAAAAAAAAAAAAAAAGAAGAAGAAGAAAAGAGAAACAGCCAGGCACGGTGGCTCACGCCTGTAATCCTAGCACTTTGGGTGGATCACCTGAGGTCAGGAGTTCAAGACCAGCCTGGCCATCATGGAGAAACCCCATCTTTAAAATAAATAAATAAATAAGAATAAAAAATAAAGAAATAAAAAGAAGAAAAGAACAAACCTGGCTGGGCGCGGTGGCTCACGCCTCTAATCCCAGCACTTTGGGAGGCTGAGGCGGGTGGATCACAAGGTCAAGAGAATGAGACCATCCTGGTCAACGAGGTGAAACCCTGTCTCTACTAAAAATACAAAAAATTAGCTGGGCATAGTGGCACGTGCCTGTAATCCCAGCTACTCAGGATGCTGAGGCAGGAGAATTGCTTGAACCCAGAAGGCGGAGGTTGCAGTGAGCCGAGATCGTGCCATTACGCTCCAGCCTGGGTAACAAGAGCCAAACTCCGTCTCAAAAAAAAAAAAGAACAAACCTACCATTTCCCCCCAACACCACCCGCCACCCCCACCCCCCGCAAATAAAAGTAACACACTGCAAGAAAACAAAATGCTCAAACTATAAAATGTAAAGTCACAGTCCCCTCCTCAGAAGAACCCTCAACTACTGCCCTCACCAGCCTGTTTTCCCCTAGCGCCATCTCCTGGACATCTCACAGTAAGCATCCCTCACTCATTTCTGAGCTGCTCAACTGGAGTTTGTCCAGATCTATAACATAGTTACTACTCGTAATCCAACCCTCTATGAAAGGTGAGCACTCTAGCCGGGCGCGGTGGCTCACGCCTGTAATCCCAGCACTTTGGGAGGCCGAGGCGGGTGGATCACAAGGTCAAGAGATCGAGACCATCCTGGTCAACATGGTGAAACCCCATCTCTACTAAAAATATAAAAAATTAGCTGGGCATGGTGGCACGTGCCTGTAATCCCAGCCACTCAGGAGGCTGAGGCAGGAGAATTGCCTGAACCCAGGAGGCGGAGGTTGCGGTGAGCCAAGATTGCGCCATTGCACTCCAGTCTGGCTAACAAGAACAAAACTCCATCTCAAAAAAAAAAAAAAAAAAGAAAGAAAGATGAGCACTCTGTCCCCATGTGGCCTGCCCTTCCACCCACCCCCATTTCTACAGGGGATATGTAAGCAGTTTTTACTGTATGTTCTGTTTTTTTTTTTCTTCAAGACAAAGTCTGAAAAAAAAAAGCCTGTTGCCAAGGCTGGAGTGCAGAGGCACGATCTCGGCTCACTGCAACCTCTGCCTCCCGGGTTCAAGCAATCCTCTGGACTCAGCCTCCCAAGTAGCTGGGATTACAGGCACATGCCACCATGCCCAGCTAATTTTTGTATTTTTAGTAGAGACAGGGTTTCACCATATTTTACCAGGCTGATATCGAACTCCTGACCTCAGGTGGTCTGCCCGCCTTAGCCTCCCAAAGTGCTGGGCTTACAGGCGTGAGCCCCCGCACCTGGACACTGTTCTTTCTTTCTTAAATGTTTGGAGA